TTACGGATGCACCACGGCTACCACACAGGTGCGCGCTTCTGGGGATTTCTGATTATTGCTCTGCCTTGAGACTCGATCGAGCTGAAATGAAAAAATGCGAGGATTTTGCAGCAGAATGGATCAGTAAGCAGCGCGCAATGCCGCAACAATGTGTTCAAGGAATGTCCAGCACTGGTAAAGAAAGCGCTGCTCTCGACTCAGTCTCTCCGCTACTGTTGCTGTAACACAACCAAATGCAACGGATATTACTTAATAAAAAGTCCTTTCATACTACCCTAGCTCTTTTTTCATTTTTTTTCAGATAATTTTCAGCAAATTTGACACAAAGACGGAAAAAAGAGGTGACAATGTTAGCAAAAATATTAAGTTACAGTCAAAAGTCAAAAACCACAGCCGTGTTAGCTCTCGGAGAGAGGTGAAGGCACTCGGGAAGTAGCCTAAGTAGTAGCGAATGCAAACAGTAACCACCCGCTGCAAGTCTGTCGACAGCTCTTTCTTTCGAGGATTGCTTACAAGCGAGTTGGTGGTTGATTTAGCTCCCTGGCATATACCATTACCAATTTATCATAGAAATGAAAGAACGAGTAGTAGAGGGATTGGTTGTCCAGTGGTGGGGTCGAACCTATTGCACGACAACAGTTCTTTCTCCCTGCACCATGCCTGCCTGCAAGTAAAAAAGTATCCACGATATTCGATATTTTTGATATTTCAAAAAATATCGAAAAAAAAAATCAAATAATATCAAGAGAAAAACAATCAATGATTATCAATACCTCCAGTATCAACGAAGTTATCCCGTGTTAGTGGTGTTACTGCTGGGCGTGGCTGTGCCAGGCCTTTTGATCCTAGGCAGTACATTTCCAGTTAGTACCCATTGCTTGTTCAATGTACGTTACGCTACGGATCAACAGAGCTATGTGTTGCCACATTTAGAATTTCTTTGTAATATAGCATAAATTTAGCAAAAAATGGGAAAAAAGACACGAATGGGATGTAAGCTTATGCCCTCCCCTTCCCCTTCTGTTGCTGTTCTCGGCGATCTACTTTATGTATTATTAACACATTCTTAGTCTTCGCTTCTCGCATTTGATAGTTTCACGGTATTTAATGCGTGGAGTACTAATTATGTTCATTTAGGGCAAGCAAATATATCGCCCAATGACACACAACGAAACATTTCTGATATTGCAGCCGACTTTCCGTGTTAGTGAATGTTTCAATTTCCGGTCGGAAGGTTGGATAGGTATCTGTCAAATGAACAAAAAGCAGAATCGCTAACAGAATGCATTTCTAGCATTTAAAAGAGCAGCAGTGGATCTGAGCGCTGCCGCTGCTGCTGGTGCTGGTGGTACAGCGACAG